GGAGGGGAGATGAATAGGGAGCCCCCACTGAATGGTCAGAGAGAGGGAAGGCACAGGAAAGTAAAGCTAGCACTTCACTGTCCCTTAGGACTGCGACTCAGCTCCACAGCCTGTGTGTTGCCTGCTGCTGAGTGTCCTTGTAGCGGGGAGAATTCAGACTTCACCTCCACAAGCAACTGCAGAGAGTTGCTGTGGCTACAGTCCTCAGTCCCAGGCCTCAGCTCTTCGCAGGCATCCCGCTTGACTGTGCCTGAGGGCTTTGGGAAGGAAGCTGTTTTCTTACAACCTCAGTGGCTAAGTGTAGCTAGAGTTTTCCTGCCTGGCCCACAGTCAGGACAAATCTCTCTCACCTGCCAGCCCCACAGCCACTCAGACCCGACCAAGTAAACACAGAGACTTATATTGGTTTCAAACTGTATGGCCATGGCAGGCTTCTTGCTAACTGTTCTTACGGCTTAAATTAATCCATTTCTATAAATCTATACCTTGCCACGTGGCTCGTGGCTTACCAACGTCTTCACATGCTCCTTGTCATGGCGGTGGCTGGCAGTGTCTCCCTGACTCAGCCTTCCACTTCCCAAAATTCTCCTCTCTCCTTGTCCCGCCTATACTTCCTGCCTGGCCACTGGCCAATCAGTGTTTTATTTATACAGACCGATATCCACAGCAGCTAAGGGCAGCTGTGACAGGTTGGCGACCCTCTCTGGGGACAGATGTTCCAGGCACTGTGGTCAGGACCCCTGTCCTTAGGGACTGTACAAGTTCAGAAGTCAGTCTCTCCCCCGAACCAATGCTGTGCAAGTCCAGATGTGCCTCTTCGCTCTCGTCAATAAAACATTCTGAAGTGTTTTGCTCATGGTTCCCACCCCCCTTTAATACCCGCTTTCCTTAACTATAATTTGGTTGTACAGCCACCTGCACCACCAATTTTAGAACACTTTCATTACCTGGGGGAAAAATACCATACCTATTAAGAGTCATTTTTCATCTCCTCCAATGCCAACGCCCCTGGCAACCACTAAGCTACCTTTTCGTCTCTAGAATTGCCCGTTTCTGAATATTTTATAAGGTGTAATTATAAGCTTCTGTAACAGTTACCTTCTGTAACTGGCTTTTCAGTTAGCATAATGTTTTCAAGCTTGGTTGGTGTATAGCATATATCAGTGCTTCATTGTCTGTATTACCAAATAATATGAATCCACCCACCAGCCGGTGAGATGTTTGGTCTACTTCTATTTTTTAGTTATTAGGAGTGCTGCTGCTGTGAACATTATGTGAGTTATTTGGCTGAGCCAACATACCTAACCAAGGCAATGAAGGAAGAAAGGAGGGCTTTATTTTGGCATACAGTTCCAGGATGCAGCCCATCGAGGCAAGAGGCACAGCAGCAGGAGCATGGACACACTGCATCTGCACTCAGGAAGCAGAGCGATAGATGCATGTGCTTGGCTCAGGGTCTCCTTTTTAATCCGTTTAGGATCCCAGTCTATGGAATGGTTCAACCCACATTATAGTGAGTCTTTCCGCCCTACCTAAGCTAGTCTGGACAACGCCTCACAAGACGTGATCAGAGATTTGTTTCCACAGTTGGTTCTAAACCCCACCAAATCGGCAATCAAGATTAACCTTTACAAACATTCGCGTGCAAGTTTTTGTGTGGCTGTTTCCATTTCTGTTAGGTGTGTACCTAGAAGTGGCATTGCTGGTAGACTCCATGTCTTTCTTTTTGAAAGCCTGGCCGCGGGAAAGCCGCTGGAACGCTGCCTGTCACAGTAGCAGGAGGGGCTTCCCGGCTCTCCACATCTGCCTCAATGCTAGTCGCCATCTTGTTTGTCTGATCCTGGTCTCCTGGGGCAGTGGTGACGTCTCATGGTTTCGGATCTCCTCGCCATTTGCCTGTCTTCTCTGTGTTGGTGTCTACTCAGACCCTTTGCTCATACTTCATTTGAGCCATTTGACATTTTCCATTATTGAATTGCACGAGCTCGTTCTAACAGGGATATAATTTCCCTAAGTTCCCTCCTACCCTGTGGATTACCTTTTCATTTTCATGGTCACCTATGCGTTGGATGATGTCCAATTATGGATTTCATTGTTTTTATTTGTGCTTTTGGGTCATTTCCAAGGAACTATTGCCTAACTTAATGTCATGAATATTTGTCATTTATATTTTAAAGAAATATTTAACAGTTTTCCCTTTTACTTTTAGATCTTTAGTTCCTTGTGATTTAACTTTTGTGTAGTTCTGAGGTAGAGGATTCACTCCATTCTTCTGCATGTGGATCTCTAATACATCCATTGAGAAATTATTTTTCCCCTTTGAATTATTTTGGCATCCTTGTCCAAAATCAATCATCCATGAATGCAAGGGTTATTCAATATTTTATTAGAATATCTAATAATACCAATGCAAAAGGTCACATATTATATATCATGTTCAATTTATAGTTATTCATCAGAAATAGCAGGCATCACCATCTTGTTCTAGTTCATTTTGAAAATCAGAAGACAAACTCTCAGTGAGTGGTTGAAGAGTAATAATTTAATTTATAGCTCAATTTAGACAAAATTACCATTGGGCATGTCTTCTGGATCTGAGCCTAGACAGGGCTCAGTGAGCCAGGGATCCATCTGATGTGACATCAGAGATTCTTCCCAAATAACTTAGCAATGTCTTAACTTTGATGTCTGTCATTGAGGAGAAAACACTTGTAGTCATTTCTTCGTGACTTTGGGCAGACTTTCTGGTCACCTTGACCAGGAGGAGCCAGGTGCTGGGGTTAAGGAACAACTCATCCTCTGTGCGGCTGCCAGCTACCATTTTAAACCTCTCTATTCCGCCCTCCTACCCAGCTTCATTGCTAAGATAGCCAGAAGCTTTGGCAAGAAGCCGCTGGCTATAGTTTCTCAAGCACTGGCACATCTGTTTTCCATCTTTTGGCAAAGTCAGTAATTTGGTTTGTCTCTCGGAGGGGATGGAAATTTTGTAGAGGATATTAAAAAAAAGAGGTACTCTAGGGGCACACAATTTTTAAGGAGCCAGCAAATCTATCTTACTATATTATACTGCTCTAGAATTCACTGTGAGAAAATAAAGATTTTTTTGCCCGTAACCTTCAAGACCAATGAGAGTATTAATCTGTGAGATACAGACAGGCAGGTCTGAATATAGCTACATCTATGTTCATAATACAATAAGCTTTTGAAGTCTCTAAAACCTTCTGCCTCAGAATCTAGGGGGACTCTCAGAAATCCACATTCCTGAGTCTCTACTGAATTAGAAGTCTGGGCAATGGGTGTTAGGATCTGCCTGCTGGGTCTCCTACACACCAAAATCAAGAACTGCTTGCTTGGGAGTTTTCCCAGGAGGAAGCACTTGCTTTATCCCAAGTGTCAGAAAAGCACAGATCTAATTTAATTTCCACTCCTTTAAAATCAGGGTGCCTCCCACCACCCCCAGGCTAGAGTAGGGAGAGAGTGGTAAGCAGTAGATACACAGATGGGACCCGGCGCCTAGCACAATACAGGGACCACTTCATTTATTGAGAGAGAGAGTGATGGTTCCTAGCTCACAGGACTACTGTGAGGATTAAATGGGACAATATACACAAAGGCTCTAACAATGTCTGGCACAGACAGTGTGCGTATTATTTATGGCCCAGCACCGGCTGTGTCCCCTCATGGTCCTCTCATTAGCCATGTGGGTTACGTTCTTGGCTTGTGAGTCACACAATCAGCTAAGTGCGTAGCGACTGGCCTCACTGAGCCTGATATATAAGCTGAGAAATGCTGACGGCAAGCTGAAACAAGGTCAGCCCACTGACCATTGCCAGGTGTAACCTTTCCAGGGTGGTCAAGAGGTTACCCCGAAAGGTCACCAACATACCCAGTGTTTCTGATTGTGTGGATTTAACTTGTATTTCTTCCTTCTAAAACATGCCAAAATTGGTAAATACAGAGCAGCACAAACAACATCCTTCCCTTCATTATCCAGAAGTATATCCTATGCAAGAAAACAAAACAAAACAAAACAAACAAACAAACAAAAAACCACCCCGCTGGCTACCTCTCAGCTACAGCAGGCATCTCTGCATGGTGCAGTCATATGGTGCATACATAGGACCTACTGGGCTCCGAAGGGCCCTGGCTTGGAGTCAAAGCTCACTGGTTGCCATCTTGGAATTTTGGGCCATTTTCTCTTTGCATTTGAGTCTTACCAGTGAAATTCAAGGCCCCTGAGTGCAGCACGCTGCTGTGAGCCAAGCCCCTGATGGCCATCTAGCCTAGGCTGGTGGCGGAGAATGGATGCCCTCGCTGGCTGCTCCCTCACCCCGTAACTCCTGCCGCATCTGGCTGGCTTCTCCCGCTCTTGGCAGATCCCCTCCATGCTTCTTGGGCCTTTTTCTCTTACAAATAACGTACTTTTATGCTTCATGAATTGCCCCCTTGTCCTCCTCTGGCTCTTCAGTGAGGCTGTTTATTTAAAGTCCTGTGTTTCTTGGCGTTTGTTAAGGGACACACTTGCTCAGTCCTATTGGTGGAGATGGGAAAAAATCTCAGTGTAACTTTCAAATGAGTGACCTTAGTTCTAGGAATTTATCCCAAGAGAAGCACTAAGAATAAAATTATGAATCAAATGGAGTATTATTCCAGTAACATTATTACTAGAAAGTGGAAAGGCATTATCTAGTTAGAGGGGATTGATTAAATGATGGCTTTTCCGTACAACCAGCAGACATGTAAAAAAAAAATCCCATGGCTGAATGTTTAATGGTGAGGAAAAGTTGTTATCAATGTGTTAAGTAAAAATATCAAGCCACAAATTACTTTAAAATCTCATTTTTTTAACATAAAAATCCACGTATTCTTTCAGGAAAAGACAGCTTTATGTGGTAGAATTCCGGCAGACCTTGCAGCTGCCCTGTTCTCCAGCACCTTGGGGTTGTTTATAACACCTGCCATTGCAAGCCTCTGGTGCCATCTTCTCCTTGCCTCCCCAGGTGTGCTGGAAGATGGACTGTCCTCTAATGGTGTGCTCCGATCTGCAGCCCCAGGTGGAATAGCCAACCCAGAGAAGAAGATGAACTGTGGGACACAGTGTCCCAACTCCCAGAGCCTCAGCTCAGGCCCTCTGACCCAGAAACAGAATGGCCTTTGGACCACAGAGGTAGGGTCACAGCCGCAGAATCAACTGGGGACTGGAGAACAAGGGTGGAGTTGACTTTAAATCAGGACCACCAGCCTTGGTGATGGAGATTTTTCCACCCTCCATGTAAAAAATTACTGCACACCTCGCTTAATCCTTTCCCTGTGGGCTATTGGGTTTTAGTTAACCTACAGAAGTGTGTCGTTGATATCAGCCCTCTGGAGGAAGTGTGTGCTTGCTTAGGTACAGCGTTGTCCAAGGATCTCCTGGTCAAACTTGGCATTACTTCTCACCTTCCAACCAGCTGGTCAGTGCAAGGGATCCCAAGGGTGATTCCTGTAAAGTATCATAACATCATTTCCCTGAACTCTCGCTGCTGAACAGGAGGCAGGTGGTGGGTCCCTGAACCTGGCTGTCATCCTCTGATGCTTTGCTTCCTGGAGCTATTGATCAGAGGTGTTTCTCCTGCTGTGCTTGGCTCCTCCTTGGAGAGGCTGCAGCCCTGAGCTAAAGTTCTGAGCAGGCTGGGGCTCTGTGCTGTCTCTTCTTCCTCCTCCCCAGGTCCCCCCTCCCATTTTCTCATGTTCCCCAAAGTCCACTACTTACTGTCTGCTTCAGAACGTGCTGGTCCCACCTCTCCCAGCTCTGATACCTGCCTCCTGAGGGCACAGCTTCCTTCCTAGTGATGGAATTCTTGCTTGCTTCTCATCACCAGTCGCCTTTAGAGGCTTTGCTCAGCAAACTGGTTGCAAGCTCATCTCTGAAGTTCACTAACTGAGTAGACTTGCCAGAACCAATCTCTCAGAACCTCGGGTTCCTTAAACATACAGTGGAAATGGAATAATACCCAAAGGAACAAAAGATGAGTCTGCTCTTGAAAACTGAGATAAACGCAAAACAATGGCAAGGAGGATGAGAAGAACAGCTTGGCACTCAACACAGTGACCTCATTAAGTGGAATGCTCATGCGTTTCTCCTCTGCACCGTCACCTGGATGATGGTTCTTCTCCAGGGGGCACCCTGGGGAAAGCATACAGCCTCATGCACACACCTCTTGCGGTTTTCTAGTTCAGATTCACCAGAAAAATGTGTGGGTTAAAGGTAATCCTTGCTAGGCCTTGAGAGTTTCCTCATGAGTTCCTATGAGCACCCTTAAAAGCCCTTTGAGTGCTGTTCGGATGCCAGGCACGGTTTGAGTGCCAAGAGCCCAGGAGTGGGAACGGCAGAGGGCTGTTTCCTGAGTGCCAGCGGCCATCAGCGTGAGAGCGAGAGGCAGATAATAAGATAAACAACATTGTTGCAGACTTGACTGTGTTCTGAGGGACCTGGGAAGTCACCAGTGGGGGTAGTAACTTCTCTGTTAGCACAGATGCCCCCTCCAAAGCTCAAATTCATTTCTGAAGGGTGATGGGACTTAATGAGTGGTACCCATGATGGTGAGCAACAGCATTTTGTGTTTGGAGCCTTCTCTACTTCATGTCCCATCAAACAAACCATGTCTCTTTTTCTTCAGTTCCTTCTGGTCCCTGCTTTCTGACTAGCATCAATAGGTGCTAACTGGCAAAACCGCTGCACCAACAATGATCTTTCACAAATTGGATTGGCTGTCTCAGTAGGGCGCTCTTTATATGCCACGCTTTTCCTGATTGTTTGGGGGCCACACTGACCTCACAACATTTAACAAGTCATTGGCTTGTTCTCTTCCACCCAGCTCCCCTTCTGTGTCCCACAAACAACACAAGAGGCGCCTCTGTTGCTTTCTGTCCGTTAAAGCAGTCCAGGAACTCTGGGCTGCCTCCAGACCCGTTCTCTGCACCTTGATATACCGTCTTCTTCAGGCTTAGAGCTCATCTCCTCCCCCCTTAACAGTCAAACAGACTAAAACCTCTCAAGGGCACCTCAGCAGGTCAGGGTGCTTACTGCCAAGCGTGAGTTTGATGCCAGGAACCTATGAAAGAGAGAATCAATTCCTGAAAGTTATCCTCTGATCTCCACGGGTACTCTACACACACACACACACACACACACACACACACACACACACACACACACACACACTCACACTCACACTCACACTAAAATAAAACTCTTAACTGGGGCTGGAGAGATGGCTCAGCGGTTAAGAGCACATGTTACCCTTGCAGAGGACCCAGATTTAGTTCCCAGCACCCCCATGGTGGCTCACCACTGTGGGAGGCACAGAGGTCCTTATGCTCACAGATAAACACTAGGGGAACCAGGAATATCTCTTCAAAGGGAGAGATGTATAGCTTGTTTCCTGCCCAGAAGGTTGGGAGTGGACATGGTTGATAGCTGGGGACCTTTGCACTGTCTGTGTGGCCAAGACCACACTGGATCCTCCCCCAGACCCTTCTCTTGAGTTTGTTTTTCTGGGCCAATCTACAGGACCCATCGTCATAGGGGATGTCACACGCACTTTACAAAGAGTTTCCATGTAGCCATGTTCTGCGCTTTGTTGTGCGCACGGGATTGAGTTCATTATCACCAGGAAACTTCACCAAATTGTGCTGTGCTTTAATATGCCTACAGTAAATTACTTGGAGTCAGACCCTCCAAGTGAACCAGCACTGGCTTCTGAGCTGTGTCGCACCAAACTGTCTTCCTGATTGGCTAGGGTGCTCACAGACGAAGCACCACCCACCCACCCCAAGCATGCCAACTCCCCACTCCCCCCCCCCACCCCCCCTCCAGCCATCTGTAACTCCAGCTTCAGAGATTCTGACCCCCTCTTCTGCCCTCTGCAGGGGCATACATACATAGAGGCAAAACTCGAATGCACATGAAATGAAAATAAGTAAATCTAAGCAAAGCAAAACAAACACCCCTCAGGTATTCGTCAGAGGCAGACATACCATGTGAACGCAGCTCTCAGCAGACAAAGCTCAGCATGTGGCTGGCTGCCCATGAGGCTTTCACGTCTCCAAAGCGGCACATTCTCTCCAGTGGCTTTATTGTGCTTGGCAAAGTGACTAGACGCTAAAGGAATTACCCATTGTCTGGATTACTTCTCAGCTAAGGGACTTCCTACAAAAGTATCCACCCGCAGTGTCTGGCCGACAATGGTTGGCAATGTGTGGCCCAGTGGAGGAAGCATGGGTGAAACCCCACAGAGTTCAAAGGAAAGGGTCAGCGTGGAATTTCACCCAGACAATGGTGACGTGAGGCATATCAAGGAAGAGCTTGGGAAGCGAAGGAGTCTCTCAGGAAAACAGAAGCAAGAAGCTGCCTGGAGGGAGGGAGCAGATGGAACCGCTGGGGGGAACCAGAGGAAGGCTGTTGTTGGGAGCTCTCAGCAGCCCGCGCCTGGGAAGAAGGAAGGGCTCGGTTAGAGCAGCTGAGAGATTTCTGTAGAGATTTGGCGGCAGCAAAACCAGTTCAGGTAGAAGGTGCTTGGGCCACAGCCCTCCTTCTCACTCTGTTCTTCCCTTGACATCCCAGGGTATTTTATGTTTAAGGCACCTACTAGGTGCTAATAGTTAAATGCTAGTTGAATGAGACTAGACTAGCAGCTCACTGAGATTAAAGGGGGCCTGCCCTGCCCCCCCCCCAACTCTGCTATGGCAACATCACTCTATCATGGCAGCTGTTACCTTCCTTGTGATCATCTCCCTGAGGCTCATGGGGAAAAGCAACAAGTCCTTGTGACACTTGAGGAAGCCCCGTAGGGTAAGTCAAAGCAGGTCTGATCCTGCTGCGGCAAGCTAACAGCCGGCCTCTGGTGGAGCTGCTAAGATGAAATGTTCCCTGATTAACCCCAGGTTAATGCTCTGACACTCATAGTGTTGGGTCCGGGTCTCAAGACCCCCAAGCAAGACCACCACAGAGCCGGTATCCATGCAAGCACACAGAGGTTTTTAATAACAAAGCAAGCAAGCCCGGGGCTTGGTCCTCGTGTCCAACATCCACACAGCGGGTGGAGGAGGACGCCCGAGCACTCACTTGAAGGGGTTTATGTAGGAAAGGTGTACATGCAGCTTGGGATTGGATGAGGGGGTCGGGGTGAGGTAGTTCTTTGAAGTTACTGGCTGAACTATAAGCATGAGGTTACTGATGGCTAACAGGATCCAGGGTATCTGCAGAGACATAAATTTTTACTCCCTATGTCCTGCTTTTGCTGAACCCAGGATATACACATTCAGATTTACTGTTCCAGTCCTGTTTACCCGTAAGTTCAATTTCTGGTCAGCTGAGTCCATTACTCCCCATGTCCTGTTTTACCAAGCCCAGGATATATAGATTTATTGTTCCAGCCTTATCTTCCCCTGAGTTCAACTTCTGGTCAGTTCTAAAACTGCTGGTCAACCTTTAGAGGAGGTGGGGAACGTCTCAAGATGGCTACTGATTTTTCCCTTTCAATAGAATTTGGGAACTAGAGGTTTCTTGGTACCTGCCTTCTATTAATGGAGATCTGACAGAGACCTAAGGCCTTGTGATACAGCCTACAGGGTCTGCTTTTTAATCCTCTGTGAAGGGAGGGAGGAGTAAATGAACACACCTACTATGTGCCAGACACTATATAGGGCATCGTTTTTAACCCTCATGACTCTGAAAGGTTAAGTATCCTTCTGCACCTGGGAAAATGGAGGCCCACAGGCTGAATGTCCATCCAACAGGACACAGAGCCGTGCTATGCCTATGTTGAAATTTAAACTTCTGTCTGTCGGCCTCCCAAGCCCTTTCCTTTCATTACCTGAATCACAGTGTTGGAGGAGTTAGTGTGAGCTTCATCAGAGTTCATCGGGATGTGGGACCTGGAGCCAATGTCTTTATTTTGGGTTGTCACCTGCAGGACATTGTCCTCGGCAAACCACATCAGCCCAAACGACTTCAGATGCCTTAATGTGCAAGCAAACACGGTAAGATCACAGTGTTCCGGAGGTGATATGAGGGGCAATCAATGATTTACGTCACTGAAAGCCAGTGAGAAAGTTCTGGGGCATTCAGGCAGGGCTAACAGGTTCTGTGTCTGGGGAGCTCTCTCTCTGTCTTTCTATCCCCCC